TGCGGGGCCTGCCGGGGTCACTTCCCGCTCCGTGGCGGCCGCCGCCTCCTCATCCGCAGGTCCTGGCAATCGGTCACCTTCGCTCTGGCCCCCACCCGAGGCCGCCGCCGCCGCCGCCTCTTCCGAGCCCCTCTCCCAGCAGGGCCCCCGGGCTGCTCCTGGGGCCCGGTGCGCTCAGCCCCCGAGCCCTGCCGCCTCGCCATCCTCTCAGCTCCGGAGCTCAGGTCTGGACACGAGTCCTCCTCGCCGCCTTTCCCTACAACAGCAAGGCCACGTGAACAAGGCGCCGGGGCCTGGTTGCCTCGCTTCCACCCGGACCAAAGACGCTGCGGCCTCCGGGGCCTCCACACAAAGGGAGCCCACACAGAAGCACCGACGGGCTCAGGAGCGTCCCAGCAGCGTGGAGGTCAAGTGCCACAGCCATCGGGCACCCGCGAGGCTATTTATGGTGGCTCCCGGCCGGGCAGGAGGACCGGAAGCAGACCTCCAGGAAAGCCAGCTGACAGACTCAGGAGAGAGGAGGCGGCCACAAACATGCGACCCGAGGGGTGAGGAGGCCCGGAACGCAGGATGGGGCAGACTGGGTCCGGCGTCCAGCCTAGCACCGCTGCACGAGCTGGGCCACTGACTGCAGCAAGGGCCCGGGCACAAGCCAACACGGGGGGAGGTGGCCTGGGCACGGGCAGAAGCAGTGGCGACCCAGGACACCCCTCAAAGGGTAGATGCCAGGACCTGAGACGGTTAGCACCGTGGGTGAACACCAAGGTTAGCACCAAGGCACGAATCCTACCTGCCTTGTTCTGTAACGCAGATTTGGGCAAACGCTTCTTCGTCTTCCTCTCTCGCCTGTCTTCCTGCAGGTTCCTGCAGGCTTTTTCCGGAACGTCATCCTCAGGGAAGAGCCCTAGGGACCAAGGCAGGTGATCAGGAGGCAAAAGGCAGGTTGTGATGCTGTCGGTGCGCGTTCAGGACTGCAAACCACCATGCAGGGTCCACCTCCAGGCGCCGCGAGTGGGAAGACTGTGTTCATGCCCCCACAGCCACGACCGGCTCGAAGCCGCACCAGCAGGAA